AGAAATAGTATAAACCAGAATATGAACCCACCTCCATGGTGTTAGTTGATATTCTAGTAAAAATTGCGATAGGCTACAATTAATTTACTTTGTAAAGATTGTTAATGTAATGACAGTAAATATTTCATATTTAATAAAAGTCTCACATTTAATGTCCGTTCGCAAAAAAAAAAAATAAAAAAAATAAATTATAAATTATATAATTATGAATTTTAAATTATTGAGTAATAAATTTATATCCTAAAAATTTTTGGTTCACCTTCAAAAATAATTACCCATATAATGATTTTTTCAATTTAAAATCATATCATTGTATTAATACTAATTATAATAAAAGTTTCTAAATTGTTTTACTTATTTTTATTATTAATAAAATCCAAAAAAATTATATTAGTTTTAAAATAAAATAATATTTATATTTTAAATAATTATAATTATCTTTTTGTAACAGATTTCATTATCTGTCATATAGTTATATAAATCTTTAGAATTTATTTTAATCAATATATCACTAAACTATAAGATATTATAATATTTATTAAATATCTAAACAATTCCACTATTTTCTATTATAATTTTTTCAAATATTGTTAATATAAAATTATTTATTGAAATATTAAAAGAATTAAAATTTAATTTTAAAATACTTTATAAGTTTTAAATCCTCATTTATAATTTTTATTGTTTTTTGAAAAAATTTAAAGTATTTTATTTATTGAATTGTTTAAATTTTTTTATTCAAATTTCTATAGTTTATTTGAAAATATAAATACTTTTGAAATAATTGTTCAATCTTTAAAACTTTGTATAATTTTATTAATTATTATTTTTTTTTTTTTAGAGGCAAAGCACATTACATGCAACAATTTTTATTAACTTATGAAACAAAGTTACAACCATATATGAAGAATCTGATTAACTGTTTCTAGATATTCTAATCCTAGTACTCCCTCTAACTAACCTAATTGTACCAACTTACACCAAGTAGGTGGATTTGTATGTCAGGTGTGGACTATTCAAAGGGCATGTACCTGTTAACTGTCACTAGGGTCCTTATCATTTTCTCATCTTCGGCTCATACTTTTGCAATATTCATGGGTTTACTTCTTTACACTTCCTAGTAAATGCTCCAAGAGTTTCCTAAGGTTGGCACAGACTATCAAATCTGGGGGTTTTCACCAAGTGGGGTGCGACTTCTGAATCTTCTAGTAGACACTCCTTAAGATTCTTAGTTGGCGTAGGCTGCCAAATCTAGGGGCATAAATGCCAAGCAGGGCGCAATTCCTATAAAGTGGCCTTGAACGTCACTTCGCGCCAGCGATGTCCCTATAGTAATCATCTTCAAAGTTGCCTAATCGAGTTAGCAGGTTTTCTTTTATAGTCTCGTGGACTATAGGGGAAGGGAAGCGACCAGCGTGGGAACCGGGAAATACACCAAACATAGTACGATCATCGTAACACCAACCGGACGATCGACGCGCCACGACACCTTAACTGGAGATCACAATCTCAACGCCCACTGAATCAGTGTGTGAAACGGCTTCGCATGAGAAACAGCACATATTAGGTTACGGTGCCAGATACCATGTGGTACTGTTCAACTGCCTTCACATGGAGTTGAACCAGTAAATTAATAATAATTAATTAATTTAATTAAATTGTATTTAATATAGGAAATTTAATTAAAATCTACTTTGGAGTTAATAATCTATGTAAAATTCATATATCTTTTAATAATACAAATAAATTACATTATTGTATTAATAAAATACAAAAAGAAAACCATCTATTTGAACAAAATTTATTAGGTGTTATTTATAATTTTTTATGAAATATCAACCATATTTAATATATATAATTTATAAATTAATTTATTATTTTAAATAAGATTTTTTAATGACAGTTATATAATAATTGTTTGTACTACTCAAGTACAAATAAAAAAATGGATTAAATGCAATTATTTTGAAATTAATTTATTTTTTAAAAGAATTTCTAAAGAAATCAATAAGTTTGAAATCAATTTTATGCCAAAAATTATAATACATATAAGTAATTATTTTATTAGTTTTAATATTTGCCTGAGTTTCTACAAATCAAACAATAGCAAGTGCATATCAACAAATATTCAAATTACCTTTTAATATTATTAAATTATTTACTGGAGAATTACCAAAATTTAAACATATTAATGGAGAAGGATGGATTATATAATTGGTAATATTGATATGGTACAAGCTATTGGATTAGGTGAAATATTGGCTTCAATAAATAATACTTATAATTAAGAAAAACATTTAATACATATATTTAAATCTTTTCAAGTTCATTATTAACAGTAAGAAAAAATAATAATTGTTTTTATTAATTTTATTACTAATAATAATATATTTATTAAATAGAAAGTTGCATGAAAAACAATTTAATAATAATATTAAATTATACAGAATATTTATTAATGGTACCAACTGAAAAAATTGAATTTATTTTTAATAAATTATTAGAAAATTGATAATAATCTTACAGATAAATACTTTATATATTTATAATATAATCTATTATATTAATTAGATTGGATTCAATATTATCAAAAACCTTGTATTATTGCATCATTAAATCCATATATGTCAAAATTTTCATATAATTCTTGGCATGCCACACCCAATAATACAAATTGCGCAGAAGCAGCACATGCTATGAGTAATCATGAAGGAAAACAACTAAAATTAATGACAGCTATTTTAAGGTTATTTATTTATTTATTTATTATAAATTTGTTTAAATGAAGCGGTTAGTATTTTCTATTAAAAAATTTTTATAATTTATTTATTTAATGTTAATTATAAATGTATTAATAGTTAAACGATCTTCTAAAACTGCTAATCCAAAGAAATGCCAACAATTAATTATGCAAACAAGTAATAAAAAACCATGCAAGTTATCAGAAGCTGATTTAACAAATATAGAAAAAGAAAACACTCATGAATTGTCAATGACATTAATGGAAAAATTGGAGTATGAAGAATGTATGCTAATAATTGCAGAGCGAAAAGAAAAATTAAGAGAATTACAAATAGTTAATACTATTAAGGAATGTGAATTAGGTCTTAAATAAAAAATATTAATATGTATAATTAATTGGTTTTTAATACATAATATACAAAGTATTATAATGATAGTATATTTTATTATGCATAGTTGTATATTATACGCTTTTCTATTTTTACTATCATACGCTACTTCTCTTATACAGTATATCCGACTTTACTACTGTTCACAACACCGCCACACCAGACCTTATACCCAACCCTATACCTCTATTTCTCATCATGTCATAACCACTACCTATACAATTCTCATGCTAACAATAGTATTTCAATATTGGTTCTTTAACAATATTAACCAATTTTATTTGAAGATAATAACGTTATTTTTTTTTAGAATACCTATCATATTTTTTAAAAAAATTTTGATATTTTATTCGATAGTATTTAAAATAACGCCAGTTTTGAAATAAAATTTTTTGAGGTTATGTATCCATTGTCTTCAAAATACAAATAGATTCCAAGATATAATTTACCATTTGCAAAGACATTTTAAACTTGATTTTTTAATAAAATATATGAAAATGTCAGTACAAAATGAAAATATCATAATAGCTGTGTCTGAAATAATATGATTATTTTTTAATTAAAAATCACATGAGTTATGTGAACAAGAGGTTTTGTCTCACTGCGTGTTTGTTGCTAAACATTTGCAAAGTTTCATGTAACTTTGTGGTATGATGATATTGTTATGGATGAAAAGGCGTTTTAAATTTGACCGAGTTTAATAGGCAGAACTCAGATCTGTCCTTTGTTAACTCCTGCTTTTTATACATCTTTTTTGTTTACAAAGGCTAGTGCAGCTATATTCTCAAGAACAATTGAAAGTATCTGCAAAGCTTTTTTACATTCATTTCTCTTTTTCTCTTCCATTAGATAGTTTATTTTCGCCAACCAGCCTTATGACAAATATCGCGTCCTAACTTACTTGTTGCAGTATATTGTTGTGTCACCGGCGAGTCGGTCGCTAAACGGCTCACTCTTCGTGTGATTATAAAGCTTGAACGCTTGGATTATGGCGATAAATAAGATAACTCCGAAGCGCGCTACAATTTGGCCACTTGTCGCACTTGCTAATCTCTTCTTGGCTGTCTCTCTTTAGGCGCGTCTCAAGATTACAAGTGTCATTATTTACACGGGCAAAGTTACCCAGTTTTACCTTTTAAAGACTTTAACTTCGTTAGTCATTAAACTACTTACTCGGGGATATAAATTTCGGGTTGCTTGTATTTGTTATGCGAAATGAAGTAGCATTTATTTAAAGCGCGAGAAAACAGGAGTGTTCTCAAAACTAAACTCAGTCTCTCCCTACAAATACATGAAATCATCTATTTATATGCCTTGTTGACGCGTCCACCCATTGCATGCCGTTGCCAAATTCTGTCGTCATTTTTAATTATTACGCGACGCATCCTGATTGTCGTGTTACCAACCTAATTATTTCTACAACAATATACACTTTTGTATTCTCAAATAAAATTTTAATTGGTTTACCATCGAACTTATTAAATATGAAATTTATAGGGTTAGTAAGTAAAAATAATTTAGCAAAAAAATATTTCATAATAGTCTAAAAATGAGGGTTATAATAACAGTAGTTTATTTTTGCTCAAATTATGATAAATTAGCAAAATACATTTGTGCCAAATACTGTATATGAATATACCGTAAATCAAGTTTGTGCTTATACAGTAATTAAAAAAAAATAAAAAATAACATTGTATATATGGGTTTTCTATTTTTCTATGTAATAATGTATTAGTAGACATTAATTGCCAATTGTTTAAAAATTACTAAACGAAAACAAACGTAAAAATATGCATTAAATCAAATTAGTATTCTCTAAAACATTAATAAAATTCTATCTAGTTATGTAATTATACTAAAATGTATCAATTAAATCAAACTTATACGCTTTACATGTAACTTTTTTTTCTTATTATGACAGTTTTTTGAGTCAGTGGGTTTATGAGGCTTGATGCAAATTCCACTTCGACAGTCCTTATCATTCGGACACTGCAAATAATTTCAAAAGTTAAAAAAAGAAAAATATTTTTACCAAAAATATTGAAAAAAACTAATACATACTTTGTTGTTACAACATCCGCAATGCTCTACGGAGTTAAGAATATTTTGGCATTTACCATCGCAACAGGAATTATTTCTATCACACTAGAAGTGATATAAAAGTTTAAAAAGATAGTTTTGCCAAAAATACTAAAAAAAAAAAATACATACAGTTTTACCACAACCTCCACAGTTTTTTGAATCAGATTTTAGGTCAACACAGTAACCGTTGCAATCTGTAAGCTTATCATCGTTGCAAACGCAGCTTCCACCTGAACAATGTTTACCCTCAGCACACTATAAATAATTGAGAAAGTTAGAAAAGATATTTTCGCCAAAAATATTTAAAAAATAATACATACAGTTTTACCACAACCTCCACAGTTTTTTGAATCAGATTTTAGGTCAACGCAGTAACCGTTGCAATTTGTAAGCTTATCATCGTTGCAAACGCAGCATCCACCTGAACAATGTTTATCCTCGGTACACTACAAATAATTGAGAAAGTTAAACAAGAAAGTTAAGAATAGAGAAAAAAACAATACAACTTTAGTACAAATGTCAAAAAATCGAGCGGTATAAAATAAATAATAAATAAGCAAATTCCACGCACACATGACCATTAGGATATTAAACATGGTCGTTTGGGATTAGAAATGAATTCTATAATTCCAAAAGGATGAGAATACGTACGCATTCACTGCCACATTGTTGTTGACCTAGAAGGCAACCTGATGCAATTACTTCATGCGCTAGGACTAAATAAATAAATAAAAATAATGAGAATAATGAAATTATAAATATAAAGGTATAGTGAATTTAAAGAATTTACCGCAAAGAACGCTTAGAAGAACGACGAGAAGGTTAAATAATTTAGTTTGCATTAGAAATTTATGATAATGAAGCGAGACAAATAGGAAAAAGGACAAATTCGTGAGAATTCAGTGAAAGGGAAGTAGTAACATTTATGCTCTTTATATACCTTTCATTTTACATACACACGACAACGAAGATTTTTTTAAAAAATAAAAGACGTGGGCGATGTTCTCCTTACTTCACTTATGCGACATCCTCCTGCAGATCATACTCGAGTAAAATGTATCAGTTATTTTTTAATAATTAATTTTTAGATTAATACATTTTTTGTAGCAAAAATTATAAATTATTAACATAAATTTTAATTTTTTAAAAGAATCAAAAAGAAGTTAATTACAACAAACCTTTCCTAAACGTATTCTTTTAGGACAATTTGGAAAATTTTTAAGCATGCGTATTTAAAAAAGCTGCACATCTTTAAAAAATAAATTTCTTAAGTGTTTATGTATTTAAATCAAGTTTGACCGTATGTTCAAAGAGATAAAACGTAGTAAATATATATTCAAAGAGTTATAATATTTAATTATATTTATATAGGTTTCTATGTATTTCTACTGATATTCGTGTAACCAATAGCAAATCTTTGAAGGCAACGAAATGTTAGCAAAGATTTTCCGACCCAATTTTTTAAATAATATGTATGTAATGCAAATTTTAAGACCTCGATTATAAGGTCAAAAAAATTCCTTGTTCATCTCATGAGCCATTAAATTGAAGGCGGCGAAATGTTAGATAAGATTTTTTTGACTCCTGGTTTTAAATAATATGCATGTAATGCAAATTTTTAAGAACACAAATATACGTAAGGTCCAAAAAATCCCTGTCCGTCTTCAAAAATAATTACCATATATAACCAAGAATACGAGATTTAAAAAACTTTGTCTTTCCAAAATCGGTAGTATCAAAATTAATTGCCAATTGGGTAATTCTTTTTGAAGGCGGACAGGGATTTTTCTGACTTTATAATTGTACTCCTAGAATTTATATTGTATATGTATTGTTCAAAAAATAGGGATCAAGAAATCGTATATAACATTTTTGTCGTTTTCAAAAAGAATCAGCCAATTATAAACCTATGAACCTTTGTATGACTTTTCGGTTGACCCACACATGTTAATTTTATTGAAATATGTATCTTTGAAGGCGACGAAATGTTAAATAATATTTTTTATATTTCCATTTTTTAAATACTGTAATGCGTATAGAACGCAAAGTTTGAAGATCATAATTATAATGTCAAAAAAAATCACTATCCGCCTTCAAAGATAATTACTCGAATATCTGCTTAACAATAACTATTTATACAGGGGAGGGAGGTTTAGCCCGTGAAATGCACAGATTGGAGTTAACAATTGTATGATTAGTCATTGTTACTTGCTTTCGAGTCGAGGTTCATTTTAAGAAATAATAAAGAATAGAAAAATCCATTAATAATAAACAAACAAAGACAAAACCATATAACCCTGCTTCATTCATTGTTGATTGTTTGCATAATTTTTAATATATACATGTTATTTTCTTTATTTTGCGCGTTATTGGTCACTTAAAAAAACAACAAAAAATTTTTTTTCCAAAATTCAACTTTATAGGATCCGATTGGCGACCAATGAAAGCTATAACACATTGTCAACTACCTCTGTTTTGACAAACTTAATCACGAGTACTTTTCTGCAACTGTAATAAGACTAAGATTACTTGCCAAGGTGAAAAGTAAATACAAATGAACAATTGGAACTTAAACCCTCTGATATGTAGAGTGAGTATTTTAACGTTCGATATGTTTTTAATGTTATAGTTTTATCGTTTGATATTTACGTTCTTGTTAGATCGTTCTGTATTCTTTACAAAATGTCTGAGACCATTAATATACAACAAATTACATGTAATATTACCGGGCTCACAATAAGCGAATGGTTACCTTTGAAGGCGACAAAAAAGTTAGATGAGATTTTGGTCGCTATTTTTTTGAGTACATTGTGAACGTGATTTTCGGCGAGTCTGTCGCTTCTTGGACCAGCACTCGCGTAACGTTCAGGTGGGTAGGTTTCTTTAGT